AAAAAAAAAAAAAAAAAAAAAAAAAAAAAAAGGCAGGTCTAATTAGACCTTCTCCCTGGACAGTTCCTGAAGATCCTGGGATTAAAAACATCCCTATTTTATGTACCGACCACACACTTGGCAAACTAAATTGTCAAGACTTTTCCAGGCCTTAATAAAACAAAAACAAAACCATAATCCTGCCAAGGAATACTGCACCTGTGTCAGACCTTTGGGGCTGGTAGAGCCAATGTGGTCACGTGCTCTGGTGTTTCTGTATGATAGTGACCCATGTCTATTCCACAAAATTGTCAGGCCCAACTGCATGACTCAATGAGCTGAATATAGTAATCCAGATGGAGAAATGGGGAAAAGTCATAAAGACAGGCAGGCATTGTATGATTTGTCAAAATATGAGTACTAACACATCATATTTACCCCAAAAAGCACTCTCGGTGAGTTAATGAGTTTAGCAATCTACACCCAGAGTGGCAGATACACAGCATGCCCAGCCAACCAAACATTTAGTCTGTGCCTCAGTAGCAATGCAGCCAGTTAATTTTGAACTGTTGTGGCTGAAAAGCAGGTTGTTTGCGCTTAATGAAGATACAATCCATACCCTCCAAGTGAAACAGAACATTCTTCCCATTGTCCACGATCTCTATAGAGTAACCTCTCTGAGAAGTGTAAACAACGCCAGAGGCTGGCCATCCCCATTCCATCCAGCCTTCTTGCCCCATGCCCCGCATCCGACTCACTCACTCCCAAACTAAATCCCATCTCTATGGAGTCATATGAGGATTTGAAAGGGGCAGTACAAGTTGAACTCACTGGGCACTGCCCATCATTTATTCTACCACCATGTTTCAGATATTCCTATGAGCTGGGTACTGCAATGAGAACAAGAGATACATCCTCTCCTATAATGTCCACCATAACCTTATAAGGCAAGTACAATTGTCCCCATTATAGAGCCAAGGAAACTGAGGCTTGAAGGGTAACCACAGACAGTGACAGAGCGAGTTTGATAGCTGCCCTCACCCTGAGTTCAAGCTATCTAACTTCAGAGCCTAACTTGGGACTACGCTACATGAACCAAGAGACCATCCTTGATGTCAGGCCACTGACTTCAAATTGCAAGGAGGTGGCATAATGCAGTGGTTACAATTGCAGGCTCTGCTGCACAAAGACTGGGTCCAAATCTTCATTTACCACGTGCTAGCTATGTGATGCTGGGCAAGTTACTTAACCTGTCTGAGCCTTGTCTTCTTAAATAGGAACAATAATAGTGCCAAGCTCACTGGGCTGTTGTGAGGGTTGACTGAGATAATAAGGTGACTGGAACCGTGCTGGCACATAGTGAACACCTGATAAATGTTAGCCTTGAATGTTTTTAAGGAAGCAGACCATCGAAATTCCAGGTGAAAAAGCCTAAAACAAGGGCCTCTCCAGGGATGTGGTGCTAAAAGGAGACCAAGTAGCCTAGTCATGGAGGTCACAACACAGTCTGAGTCCTGAAGGACAAGAAAGAGTCAGGCAGACAAAGGGGTGGGAGAAAGGGTGCCCAAGCAGGGAAAGCAGCATTTGGCAATGGGTTTAAACGTAGCAATCAAGCCAAGTTCTCTTGTACCTAAGTACAGAGGAATCTACTCCTTTGTGGAACATTCCCGGGATCCCAGTTGGATGCCTAGCACCTCACCTCTGAAGCCAGATATTCCATCCTGTGAGAGCTCCATCTCCTCAGCTAAGACTCAGAGTCCCTAGAAGAGGTGCCCCTTCACCCCGTGATCAGACCTGACACCTCAGTGCTAGGAAAGCTGCAGAGGGCAGGCTCTTCCTGGGGGTGGTAGCAGAGAGTGGGGGGCGGGGGGGGCATCTGAGAGGTGAAGGAGGGGCGCAACCAGCTGAGGACAGACTCTGAGGGCCACACCTAAGGAAATGGTGGAGTCACACTTGACTTGAGCAGCATCAAGGGCCTCACTTAAAACTTGTCTCCTTCCCTTATCGCGCGGGACCAGCTGCACCTCCTCCACCCTTCCCCCTCCCACAGACAGAGCTTTTGTAGCAGGAAGAGTTTAAAGCAACGCCCTACCTGTGACTTGGTGAGATGCAGAGCTGACTCACTGACTTCCAACTTCCCTTGACAGTTCAGAAGGTCCGTCCACAGCAGGCCTGCGCTCCCGACTGGCAGCCATCTGGTGGGGCTGCAACTGCCGTGAAGCGGACACGCGCTTTTCAATTTGCCACGCAGCCCCAGTAGCCTGCTTCACTCACTCTCACGACCTGCACCTGAACTCGGCGTGTTCCCCTAGAGACTGCGTGCTTGACTTCATCTCCCAGAGGCATCATAAACCCCTTGAAAGTTACAGCTGGATCCTCAGACATCCACTGATCCAGGCACACAGGTCTCAGGAGCATAGCAGGCCAAGCCAGGGCCCTACAGGGTGTCGTTCAGTAGTTTTGAGGTGGGGACTAAGCCTCTGTGCTTTCAACAAGCTCCCCAAGTGATTCTGAGGCACATGAAGTATGAGAATCAAATGCACCTTTCTCATGTGGTATAGCAGAGCTGACATTTGGATCTGACATTCAGCAGG